TGGTGGTTAAGGGCGCCGGACTTCTACATGGCTGACCACAGTTTGAGTCCTGGGCCTGGCAGCTTGCTTTCTCACTTTCCCTCTCTCTCTGTCTTATTCTCTCACTCTGTCCCTCTCTGATCAAAATAAATAAATAAGTACATAAAATAACGTTAAATAAAATAATTTAAAAAATAATAAACAGCATATTTATTTGGAGCTGGCCCATGTGCAGGGTTAAGCACTGTGCATAGGAAGCTAGGTCCCACATGGCTGACTAGTTTGAATTCCGCCTAGGCAGCTTGAAAAACACAGTAGCATGTGTGTGTGTATGGCCAAAATTACGACAGGGCAGACAGAATTATGGCATGATCAGGCCCCATTGAGGTTTTTTTCTCTCTCTCTGTCTAATGAATGTACATACCCTCTAGCAATAAAAAAAAATCATGGAAAAATGGTATAAACAGTACAAAAAGAAACCCACATGGCCAACCACGTGGTTAGAATCCTGTCCTGGGTAGCTTGAAAGACACACCAGGCATGGTGTGTGCATGCCTCAAATCCAGGATGGAGAAATGGAGAAGGGATTTGGTGTGATCATGCCCTCAGGGTGGGAGGTGGTTTCTCCTTCTCCCTCTGTTTCTTTCTGTAAAGCACATACACCCTCTGGAAACATTTATTTTTAGGTTTTTGCCATAGGGCGCATGTGCTTGCCATAGAGAGAAAGAGAGAGGGGAAGGAAGAAATCACTTTCTGGGGGGGATGGCCCCCTTCTCCTCCATTCTCCTCTCAGGATTTTAGACATACACGCATACGTGCCAGATATGACCTCAGCGTCTGGGGCTTGAACCACAGTCTAGCATGAGGGAGTCTAGCACCTTAACCACCACAATACCTGCTGGACCCCAAATTAATATTTTTTTAATCGGTTTATTGGGCTGGCACCCTAATGGCCTAATGGTTAAGGGAGCTGGATACCACATGGCTGACCACAGTTCAAATCCTGGCCCTGGTAGCTTCAGAAACATGCTTATGTGCCCCAAATCCCAACAGGATAGAAAAATGGAGAAGGGATTATTATAAATTAAATTTTTAAAAAAGAAAAAAAATAATAATGATTTATTTAGTTGTATTTGGTCACTCATTTATCTTAATTTGACCACAGAGAGAGAGGGAAAGTGAGAAAGCAAGCCACTAGGTCCAGGACTCAAACCATGGTCTGCCATGTGGAAGTGTCCAGCACCTTAACCACCACACCACCTACTGGTTCCGCCTAGGAGGTGCTTTTTTTCTCTCTTTCTCTTGGCTGTGCAAATGCCCTCTAGCAATAAAAAAAATCAGTTTATGTATATCTTCTATGAGATTATAGAGAGATAGGCACCCCCCCCCATAAGATCTTTATGCTGTAATCCTTTCCTCAGTCTTGGCCTGCCAGAATCACAGGCAGTTACAAGCCTGGTGTGTACAGGGAGGCCTCAGGACATGAATCCATGACCTTCCCATATGGCTTCAGCCTAGCGAAGTGTTGTATGACCCCTACATCTCTGCAGCTGGCCAATACGTAAGAAACACTAGTGAGATGTTTTAGACTCATTTTTTTTTCCTTTTTGAGTGGTTTTTGCAATAGGGCACGTGCGCTCACCAGAAAGAGTGACAGAGAGACAGAAAGGAGAGAAATCACCCCCCCCCCCAGGGGGGATGGCCATACCACAATCCCTTCTCCTCCATTCTCCCTCAGGATCTTGGGCACGCACCTACATGCGCCCAGTATGAGTTTAAGCTACTGGGTCTGGGACTTGAACCACGGTTGCCTACATGGGAGTCCAGCGACATAGTCATAACATCAACTGCTGGTTCCTATGCTCCATGTTTTAAACTCTTGGAAATACCTACAACACATCCCAGTTTGTAACAGGCACATTCAGATGTTCAACAGCCACATGTGCTTAGTGGCTTCCTTGTCCACAGGGCAAATTCCCCCTATTATTATTATTTGAGAGGTTTTTCCTATAGGGTGTGTGTGCTTGGGAGATACAGAGACAGAGAGACAAAAAGCAAGAAATCACCCCCCAGGGAAGATGGCCATGCTGCAATTGCTTCTCCTCCATTCTCCTCTTGGGATTTTGGGCACGAATGTACACATGCCTGGCTCAAGTTTCAAGCCATTGAGTCTGGGACTTGAATCTTAGTCGGCCACGTAGGAGTCCAGCACTTAGCCACTACGCTACCTGCTGACCCTCCTTCTATGTTCTATTAACCTATCCCTAATTCCCCTGCCCGTCTCCCAGTGTGTCCCTCTGCTCCCCAGCAGCCCAATCCCAGGCCAATAATTCAGATCGACAGCTGTGCCTCAATCTTGCCCTCTGTGCCCTGTAATGCCCTCCTCATATGTGCCACATGGTGACCCAGTACCTTTGTTTCCAGTAACACCTTGGCCCACAATAACCCAATCTCAGCCTCCCACTCACCCAGCTCCTGTATGTTACGGTAATCCCAAGAGTCCCCTTTTCAAGGCCTTCTGTTCTCAGCACTCCAGCCTCTGCCCTCAGTAACCCACTTCTTGCCACTGGTGATCCTACCCTGCTGCCATCATGGTGCCTGGCCCACCTTTTCTGCCCGCCCTAACTTCTAGCCCCAGGATTCACTGGGTTCTGTCCTAACCCCATTCCCAGGAAAGAGGAGGAGCGACAGAAACGGGAGGAGATGCAGCGGGAGAAAGAGCAATCGGAGAAGCTGCGGACACTGGGCTACGATGAGACCAAGCTGGCGCCCTGGCAGCGACAGGTCATCCTGAAGAAGGGAGACATCGCTAAGCACTAGACATCTAGGCCGTAGGGGAGCGGGGAGGGGAGGCAACCTTGCCCAGCCCAGCCCAACCAGGCTGGGAGTTGGGAGCCACGCAGTCCTCCCCTCACATGCTGGAACTTCTTCTTGGTCCCCACCCCTATCCTGGTCCCCGCATCCCCAGCCCAGGGCGATGATGGTGCGTTTGTTTCCACTGCGCAGTCGCCCAGAGAAAGTGCCCAAGCTGCTGACGCAAAAGATGCTGCTCATTTGCATGCTGACTTACATATATTTGCATGCTGGTTGAATGTCAAAGAATTGCAGAGCTGTCCCCAGTCCCGTGGGTGGTGACTTTGTTTTCCTGCAGGGAGCGCCCCCCCCTGCAGCCCCCTCCCCCGCACCCCAGAACCCACATAGCTGGCGCATCCTGGGCGGAGGCAGGCCCCAAGCTCGGGGAAGGGGTTTTCCTTCCTCCCTGACCCAGATCTGTGCCCAGCCCAGCCTGGACCGCTTTTCTTATCCCCGCTGAAGATTTCCTCTCAGTCATTTTGTTTACCAGAAACGATGAAAACAGCCCGTTTGGACGCAGTTGCGGCTCCGGGGGCCCCACCTCTGACCCACCTCCTTCCAGTGAAGTCTGCGTGCTGCCGTCTCCAGCCAGGCTCCCTCGCTCCCCAGACCCTTTCACTGGCCGGGGGAGTAAGTGGAGAACGAGGGGCACCGGGGCACCTTCAATTCCAACTGCTGTCCCTCCCCCTCCCCCCAGTCCCTGTCACCTCATAACCGCATTAAAGCTCTCTCAGCCGCCCCGGGCTCACGTTCACTTTCAGTAGCTGTAGCTTGGGCCCCTCGGGCTAACTGGGCCAGAGTGGGAGGCGCCCATTCTCAGGGCCACATGGTTTCGCAGTCTGTTAGACTTTCTCTGGAAACCACCAAGCTAGGGAGACTTACCACCATCAGCGACCCCAGAAATGACCAGAAACCGTTTTTCTTTTTAGATTTAATACTAAGGGCTTAGCCAAAGTCAGGCCAAGAAACCGCTGACTCTCTCCCCTGATATTCGTCCATGCTTCTTCGCCTTGAACCAGAGTCCTGAGGGTGAACAAGGTTAGGGTTGCTGGCGCTGCTACGCAGGGCCGTGCCAGGGGCTTAAAAAGTGACATAAAATGTCTACACACATAAGTAACTGTACTTAGGGCTTCTGCAAGGGCCGCTAGAGCACCAATGTGGGTCCCGCATCACGGTCCGCGCTGCAAGCGGCTGCGCAGGTCCTCAGCGCAGCCGTCCAACCCCATGCGCTCCAGGGCTGCATAGACCGCGCCTAGGCCCGCGGGTTGCTGCTGGCGCCAACGCTTGAGCATTTCGTATTGCTGGTCGCGGAAGCGGCTGATCTCTACTTCCACTGCCTCAATCTCCGCCTCACGAAGCCCCAACGTGCGCACGAACTCCTTCCAACGCCGCACTGGGACCGCGTCCACCACATCGTACAGCTGCGGGCCGGGCTGGAGCACTGCGGTCAGGGAGCCTGCAGGGGGCGCTAGCGAAAGCGCAGGTTGTGAAACCCCAACTTGCCACCTCGGGCTTGGGAGAAAGAGGTCAAAGCCACACACTGCTAAGCCCCCTTACCAAGAGCTCTGCTGGGCATCGGTTCCCAGGAACACATCGCTGGCGAGTAGGGTGTCTCCTGGGTCTGCGGAGAGCTAGGCATCCAGCTGTTGCCCACCAACTGCACAGTGCACACCTTTTCACTGCTACTGGCAGGCATCAGAACGGTGTGGACGCTATTTGAGGGTGGGGAGTGGGTGGCCTGGAAGCCAAGAGAGGCCCCACGTCAGCGCTGTCTGCCTAGGAAGGCCCTTTTGCTGCAGTCTGTGGCTAGGAATGGACATTCCCTGGCTTGGTCAGCAACATCCCCAGTGCCTCCCCCTGGGCCCTGCTCTCTGTGGCCCAGCAGAAGAGCTATTGATGTTCTCCTCTTGCCCCCCAACCCCCGGGCGGGGGGCAAACATCTCACTGACTATTAGCACCTGTGTGCTTGCCCAGACCCCAGCAGACAGCCATGCGAAGGCAGGCATGGTGCTGGTATCATCCACTGACAACTCAGCTCTCAGCACATTTGTCCACTAGGTCTACCCTGTGCCAGCCAGAGCCAAACGGGGCTAGCGAGTTACATTAAGGCCCCATCTTCCAGCTCCAGAAGGCAGCCCAGGTGCCTGCTCTCTCTTTCCAGCACAGAGTCTTACCTGTGGTGAGATCAGGATCTCTCTCCTAGCTTTATCTGCCAACACAGACAAAAAGGATCTGGTCAGCAACCAGGCAAAGCTCCTGCACCTGGGTGCTGGTCTAGCTGCTCTTGGGTTCCTCCACACCCCACACTCTCTGTCTTGGTTTCCCCTTATATATTGGGATTGAGTGGGCTCTAGGCTACCCACCCTGACCCCAGGACTAGCAATGTGTGTGTGTACTTGTGAGTACTTACCAGGAACTCTGGGCTTGGGAGGCCGGCAGCGGCGGTAGGCATAGGTCAGGGTGGCCCCGAGCAGAAGTGGAACTGCCAGGCCAGCCAGGAGCACCTGCACCCAAAACACTGAAAGAGCAGCTGGTGTGTGCCACATGGCAGCCACCCCGGCTTCCCCCTGGCCCGTCCCCAACTCTTCCACTACCATTCTCAGAACATCACCTACTCTGCCTCCAGCCACAGAGAGCAGCACAGGGCTCAGGACAGCTCCCAAGGGTGCTCCTGCAGGGGGAGGACAGGCCAAGATGAGGGTCCACACCAGGAGTGGCTACCCAGGACTGCAGGACCTCCTGGGAGCCCTTCCCTTCCCAGGCCTCTCCAACCCAAGAGCTTCACTCTACCCAAGAACATTTCCAAAGTACTGCTGAAATGTCCCCTGTGTCTCATAATCACCACCACCACTGTTTACTGAGCTTCTTCTAGACTAGATTAAGGGTCACTGGGACATCACCCGAACAGGGACAGAGAAGTTTGCCTGCTTTGTTCCCTGTTGCATCCCTAGCACCCGGAACCATGCCCAGCAATGGTACCTGCTCAGTGGACTTGAATGCTACATGAATCACCTGCCTTACCCTGAACAGAGCCCTACAAAGAACCAACCAGCCCCATGCTTGGGTGGGGAAACCACAGATCAGACAGGTTAACTGAGCTTCTCCACGGTCTCCAGAGAAACAGCAGCAAACTCTGAATCTTAGCTCAAATTCTGAAGCTATATATACATTTTTTTATTGCCAAAGGGTGTGTGTACGCTTGTGTGCAAGAAAAGAGAAAGACTATGACCATGCTGCAACCCTTTTTCCTCCATTTCTCCATCTCCTCAGGATCTGGGGCACACATACATGTACACCTGGCTTGTTTTCCAAACTGCCAGAGCCAGGATTCAAACTTTGGTCAGCCATGTGGGATCCAGCTCCCTACACATAGGCTTAACTGCTGCACTCTGGAGCCGGCCCTTAAAGCTATCGATACATTAACAGGAGTCTCTGTATGAGTGAGAAGTCCTCAATACACGGCTGGAAGGATTGCTAAGGGAGATTCTGGACAAAAGAGATATGTCCCCTTATTCATCGGGCGTGAGGTAAACCCAGATTTCTCTTTACCATCCAGTTCACCTGAGGTGAGGCCCACACACCGCAGGGCAAGCTCCCTTCCTCTCTGTGCCCTCCTATCCCGTAACAGTAGTTTGCCCCCAGAGTCCCCAGCCTCCCTTCCCTCTGGCCCAAGACAGTCAGGAAGTTACGTGGGACAGATCACGCAGTCTTCACCATGTTCATAGAAGCCAGGCAGGCAGGTCCCACAGTGAGACGTGTCTCTGCCAGAACCTGCAGTCCAAGAGAGAGCATGGTCAGGAAGGGAGAAGCAGGGTACTGGGAGGAGACATGGGGGTAGATAGTCCAGCATGGGGGTACTCACAGGGTCGTTGTGTGTGGCGGTGCAGGGCCCCACAGTCCAAGCACGGGAGGCACTCAAAGGGCGAGCTGTCGATACACTGACTGACCAAGCATTCGACAAACCAGCCAGGCTCACAGCCACAGTCAGTGTCGGCCACTGCAGAACAGTTCTCTAGAGCCACCTGGGAGGCTGGCAGGGGTGCAGGGAGATGGCAAGTGCAAAGGTGATCAGGGTCAGAGACTGCCACAGAGTGCCAGGGGAGGTCCCCAGAGAATGGAGACAGGGACAGGCCGGAGACAGAAATAGAGCCACCCCAAAAGGGAGGAAGTTTGGAGATGGCTATAGACCAGAGGCCAAGACACATGGAGAGGTAGGAAAGTCATCAAGAAGAGAGGGGGCAGAGAATCCTGAGTCAGGATCGGGGTGAGGAGTCTCAGGAGGGTGGGCACAAAGCCCTCCTACTCATTGGTTGTGCTCAAGCCAGCCACTTCCTTTGAAACACCCTGGCACGTGCCAGTCCTCAAAAACCCACCCAGCCCCTCACCCTGCTCATCACAGGCCTGGCAGCGGGCACAGCGAGTCTTATGGTGGTTCTCTTTGGCCAAGAAGGTGCCCTGGGGACATGGAAGGCAGATGGAGGCACCGCAGGGCTTTGTGCAGGGGGCTTGCAGGTAGAACCCTGTAAAACCCAGAAAGAGGTCGGACAAAGGGGACTTTCCAGCAGCTCCCAACCTGCTCCTGACCTTTCCCTCCTCCCCTTTCTTCCTCTGGCTCCCTATTTCCCTACTAGCCTCCCCCTACTCCCGCCATGCCACAGCCTCCTCCCACCACATTCTCAGCCTTACCCTCACTCCCCCCATGCCCCTCCCACCCTGTGGCCACTTACCTGCTGGACAGCCCCTGCAACAAAACTGACCATACTTCTTCTGCCCGTCACTGGCACAGTCGCACCCAGGGCTAGGACTGCTGCCTTGGCCCTGAGCTCCCAGCAGCACCAGGAGGAGAGCCTGGGGGGCAGATGCTGCTGACTTCCAGCCTGGCTGCGCCGAGTGGGGGTCTCCCTGCCCAGGTTCCTCTACTTCAGAGACCCCTGCATTTGCCCTCAGCTCAGCCCTCTTCTCAGGCTGCTGGGCAGGAGGGGAGCCAATGGGTAGGGGGAGTGGTGTCTACTTCCTTCACTCTGCACAGAACAGCTTCAGAGGAGCCGAGAAAGCTCTCTGCCAGCCCCTCTTAGGTTTTCCCTCCACAAGGGCAGAAGTCCCCCAGCTCCACCCCTACCCATGCTTTCCGAGGCTGGGGTAACTGACCCTTTGCTGCCAGGGGCCCCTAGGCCCTACTGGCCCCAGGAATGTGTTTCCTCACAGCGGAAGAGCCCCGCCCCAACGGGCGCCTCTAACTAGGTCGAAAAGGGGGGCCAACCCAGCCCCCTGTGAGGTTGGGAACGGAGACTCCTGCCAGGAGGGCCCCTTCCTTCAGCAGAGGCAAGGCTAGAGGCTGTCCCCTGCTTCCCGCACCCCCACTCACCGCAGCCACCGCCACCCTGCAGCCCCCTGGCTGCGGCTCCATGGCCCTCCACGTTGCGCTGGGCCCTTTGACGGGCGTGAGCAAAGTGGGGCACCACACTGCACAGCACCGGGGCTTCCCGGCTCACCCCATTGCCCTATTTGGTTCCGGTGCCTGCAGAGCCCGCCCCCCCAGGGCGGGGCCGCTCCTCCCCGGTGCACCTTAACTCACTTAGCGCTGCGGCTTCATCCAAGGTGGGCTGGACGCTCTGGGTGGCCTGCTGCCACGAGGGGCAGATGGACAGGGTGGCATCCTGGCCACAGCCTAGGTCTAGCTCCAACCCTGAGATCCACCAATTCAGGCCCAGGTATGGGTCCAGGGAAGGATTGTTCTGAGTCCTAGGAGTATCCTTGGGAGAGTCTGAGAGCTGTCACCCACCTTTCCATAAAGTCTGGGTGGGGGGCACCCAGAGCAGGGCCCAGGGGCACCTTGTGAGGGGCTCTAATGGTGGTCCTGGTGGCTGTGGTAGGGGAAGAGGCTTGGTCTCGGGGTGTTGGTTCAGCACCCCGCCCCCTTTTCAAGACTGCTTCTTACTGGTGTCCCACTGCAGATGGGGGTACATGGGAGCATGGAGCTGTCCATCCTGGGAGCTTACATGTACCTCAGTAAGGGGACAGGCTCTAAAATCAAAGGACTCTTTCCAGTGGAGTATACACAAGTCTTTATAAAAGAACCAAAAGCTCAATAAATATGCAACTGTACACAGAGCCCTGCCCAAGTCCAGGGCTGGGGTGGGGAGAGTAGGACTGGAGAGACGGGCAGAGGCACATGTAGGCCAGGGAAGCATGGAGGTGAGAAGAATGGCCTGGCGACCACAGAGGACTGGAACTGGTACCTTCAGGCAGTAGGGACAGGGACTGCCTGGGAGAGGCGGAGGGGGTGCTGGTTCTGCAGCCTGCACCTGGAGCTCCTGTGAGCCCTCCACTCCATCCAGTCTGGCAAAGTGCAAATGAGACCCTGGGGCGGTAGGAAGAGTCCTGCCCAGCGCTCTGGCTCATGCACACTCCGTGGCTGAGGCAGGTGCTGGGCCCCCCCAGGAGGCATGCTGTCTGCTGTCCCTTGAACAATGGCACTTGGACCTCCCTCTGCTCAGACCTCCCTGCAGTGGGGAAAGGAGAGAAACAATCCTTGGCTGTTGCCGCTCAGTGTGGCTACACCCCCACCCTCCCCCCCCCGCAAACTCCAGGCCC